GATGGATGGAAGGATAGCATGGCATGGGGCTTCTGTGCATCTTACTCCTAGGATAAGACATTAAGGTTAAAAAGTATATTCAGATTTATGTGATGATTAATGAATTTAACTAGCTTTTCCATTTTTGTATACTCGAGTATCATAATTATGAAATACTGCATAATTATACCAAAGAAATATGCAACTATTGTCAAGTCTTTGTGTGTGTGTGTGTGCTCTACCTAAAATCTTGCTCATAATACTGTTTTCCCCTCTTTCATAAGGCATTTTCTTTTTTGGGGGGGACTTTATTTCTATCTTCTTTTTTTTCCTTTCTTGCCATTAAAGTAGCATTAGGTGGTTGTTAAAGGAGGGAAGAGATGCTTTATCCTTATGCATTAAATGATCATCAGAATTCAACTCAATAAACTAAAAATTATACTATTGAAATTAAAAAAAAAAAAGACTGTTCAAACCAGTATCTCTGTATTATGTTAAGAATTTTTACTTTTTCTAGCCTTTTTAGAATTAAGGATTGGGGCTCCTACAAAAAAGTTACGAAATACTTATGTTTCTGTCACTCTGAAGCAGTTGGGTACAAATTAAGTATTTTTTTTAGTCTCTCAAAGTTAAAAGAATTGAAGCTAGCTTGAAGACACTTGAATGTATCAACTAATAACAGTATTGAAATTAATATTTTTAATCAAGTCATAATTAGATTAAAAGTTCCTGGGGGTAGGGGAGCTGTGTCTTTATTGTTCTGGAAAGGGTAGGTTTACAAGGTTAGCAGAGATATGTGAAAAAAATATTCTTATTATTTTATATTTCTAACTTGAATCTTTTGACACATTACCATTTCCTTTTTAGAGACCAGTGTAGATGGAAACCATGTAGTGAACAATTTAGGAAGCTGGTTAGTTAGAAGTTGTTCAGGCTGATGTGAGGTTTGGTGTCTTACAACCTTGACACAATTCATTTGTGACTTGAGTTATATCACCCCCTTTACTCAAGAACATATTATCCAGTATTAATGAATTCAGATTATTTTGTGGAACATTAAACTTCATTAGATAGCTTTATAAAGACTCGTTAAAATATCAGTAAAACAAATATTTAATTTGACAATTTCTATTTCTAGACTTATCCCAAATATATTTAGAGTCTAGGATTTGATATCATGAAATAATGGTAGAAAAAGTTACTAAATATTTTCTTGTAAGGCAGTCTTCACTTTCTCTATTTTTGGGTAGTAGTAATGGTGGTGGTTTTCAAACAAAGAGGGGTATAATGTACACTGATCTCTAAGGCTTTTTTCTGTCTCCAAAATTCTGTAATTTTAACCAGTCCTCAGTCTTAACCATTTTATAAAACTTGAAGTCTAAAGCCAAAAACCTTGCTACATTGCAGTTTATTGAAATTGTTTTATGTGACATTTTTACATGGAAGTCCTTAATGTCATTAAAATAAAACAAAATAAGAAACAAAAAATCCTAAATTGTCCATTAATACTATTAGGTAGCTCCAGAGCTCTAGATTATAGTAACTGGAGGGAATGTGGAATAATAATATTAGTTATTGTTCACTTGCTGTAAAAGGGATAATGGATTTAGTTGTTTCATTACAAGTTCAACATATAGGAATGTAAGTTTCTATAAAAGATACGTTTGAGATTATTTGAAGTGTTTTATTCAGTTTTAAAATTTAAAATTATTTAGTTGATTTTTAATGATATAGTATTACAGAGAATTATATCTGTTGTTTGAAATGAGGCTTCTTTGGTTTATCTTAGGATACACCTCATATTACCTTTTCTTAATGTTCCTCTCTTGTATACTTAATATTGCAATTTCTGCCCCATTTATTTTTACCCTATAATAGTTCACTTCTTTCATATTGAGATGTCTGTTTTTTAGAACAAAAAAAGGAAAGTTTATATATAATATTATAATATATAATTATAATGTACATAGTAAACAGTTTATTACTTATTGCAATGGCACTATGAGAGTAACAGTACTCTTTAGTCCCTATACCTAATGATTAACTTAGGCTTAACTAAGAAACTTTTCTAGTCTATAAAAGTGCAGAAATGTTATTCTTTCAGTTTATCTTTAGCTTTGGGAATGGCTATATCTATTAAATTGGTTTATAGTAGCTGTCTTATCACTCTTCCTTAGACTGAGGAAAATCCTGAATATGATTTCCTTTTCTTTAACTTCTTAATCTACTCTTCATTAAAAATATAGTTAATTTCACACAATAAAATTTTTCAGTTCAAGTTTTAAGGTACTTCTACAAGAAAGGAGAAAATGTAAGAATATATTTAGCTCAGCCAACTTAATTTTGAGATGTAATTAGTACTTACTATTATTGAGTATTACTATTATTAAGGACCTCAGAGAATAGGAATTCAATTTAGGTAATTGCAATATTCCCTCTTTGAGAACAATATTACTAGGAGATATAAAAAATATATGCAAGTGAAAATTCACATTTTTTATTGAGAATTTTTACTAATGAATATATATTCACTGCCCTATCCCATGGTTGGCAAACGGCGGCTCTTTGGCCCCTTGAGTGTGGCTCTTCCTAAGCCTTAGGAGTACCCTAATTAAGTTAATAACAATGTACCTACCTATATAGTTTAAGTTTAAAAAATTTGGCTCTCAAAAGAAATTTCAATCGTACTGTTGATATTTGGCTCTGTTGACTAATGAGTTTGCCGACCACTGCTCTATACAATGATTAAAGTTAGCCATACATTTGACTGTATGTTGTTGCTTCTTAGCAACCTGAAACAAATTGCCTCAGGGAAATTTTTTCATCTTTTTTTAGGCACTGTGGCCTTAAAAGATAGTTTCCACATGGTCTCTCTTAGGGGATCATTGAATGAAGTGATCACATTTCTCAGAAGCAGTCCTAAGTATAATTGAGAATTTTACATAACATTTATAATACATGATATTGTTGATATCTTCTATCTTTAATTATGTACTCTTGGCTTTACTGAAACCATCACTAGCCTCTGTTTTCTTCTTATTGACAACTCGGGAAGGGAACTTAAGAAGTATAGTTTCTAAGTGGAACTATAGCATTTTATTAAATTTCTACTATGTGCCCAACACCTAGCTGTAGGCATTAGAATTACAAATTTAATAAAATGCCATTCCTATCTGAAGGTGTTGAATAGTATCCACAGGAATAGCGGTGGTTGTTTTAGGCATCTGTGGTGGGTGGATGGGTATATACTGTGTAAGACTGGAGAGGAGGGAACAGAAAGAGGGCCACAGTAATAGTCCATGAAGGGAAAAATTACTCCTCAATTAACATAGTGGCAGTAAGAATAGGGAGGGGGAGACTAAACTCTGGAGATAGTTGGGAGTTGGAAAGGATAATGACTTCGATAGTTGAAGGAGAAAGAGTAGGTAAGATGCCTCCCATGATTCTGCTTTGGGCGACCAGGTAAATGGAGATACTTACTTCTATTCTTAAATCATAACAAAGACATATCACATTTTAAAATTTTTTTGATACATAATGTAACAAATAAAATACTTATAGTATGTGTCATTGCTGAATAATTTTAAATCTAAATGTGCATTATAAGATAAGCCTAACTCATGTTTTGTTATTTAATTATTTTTCTTTTAGGTTTAAATATTCTTAGCCATGTTTTTAATAGGTATCTACTAAGATGAAGCTAATGGCTAGGACATATTTAAGAGAGAATGTAACTCATAATTACTGATTTTGAAGGGGAGGGGTTCAAACAAAAATTTACAAGATCTGATTTAGAGTTCTGTTGTGTGTTTCACAACTGTTTGTTGTACATATGCTAGGTACTGTTTGAATTTAAGAATACAGAGATAAAATAGAGTTGTTACTCTTGAGCTCAGACACTCATGATTGTACAGTATGTAAGTGCTGTGATAGAGATACACACAAAAGAAGGGATCTAATCTCTAAAGGTAAGGAGGAGGAGAAGGGAATATGGAAGGCTTCCAGAGGTAATTTCCAAACCGATTTTTAAAAAACTATTTTCTGACATTTTAATTTGGAAACTTTCAACCCTGAAAAAAAGTTTAAAACAGAGGGGAAGTGGGGCGTGGTGGTGGTGAATTGGGTAAAGGGGTCAGAAGGTATAGACTTCCAGTTATAAAATAAATGTCATGAGGCTATCATATACAGCAGTGATGACTCTAGTCAGTAATGCTGTACTGCATATTTGAAAGGTGCTAAGAGAGTAAATCTTAAAAGTCTTCACAAGAAAAAAAATGTAACTGTATAGTGATGATATTAACTAGTCTTGTGATCATAAATATAAAATCATTGTGTTGTATACCTAAAACTAATATAACGTTATATGTTAATTATACCTCATTTAAAAAAAGAGGTATAATGTTTATTTTATTTCTCTCATGTATAGTATATATGATATATATCAAATATATATTTTGAGAACCATTTGTAAGTAAATTGTCGACAAAGTAACACTTAACTCTTAAATATTTCAGTGTACATGTCTTAAAGAATAAAGACATTCTCCTCTAAAACAATTTTACAATCAAATTTAAGAAAATATTTGGTCTACTTTTTATTATCTGTGCATGAGTTACCTTTTTAATGTTTAGCAGTTTTGAATTTCAGGCTGATATCTTCCTGTTACTCAACTTACCTTAGTGTTGTTAGTGCTATGTTTTGAAAGATTGTGAAATAGACCTTAAAAGTTAGCCCAAGGAGAAATCAGGCAAGTAAATATCCTCCTGAAATTAAAATAAATATTCATGGCAAATATAATTTGTATATTAACTTTTAGATTATCTGCAAATTCAAAAATTGAGTGGACATATATGACAGCATAAATTGAGATTTAAAGAGGAAGATTACCATTTCTCATAGTAGTATATATGGTATTAGATGTTTTGAATTGTTAGAGTTTTCAGGGCAAAGTTTCTGAAGTTCTTGTATTTATGGAAATAATATATGAGAACTATTTAGACAGCATCTGTTTCTGTTTTCAGATTGGACTGGTTTAGATGAAGATGAAGATGCACATGTCTGGGAGGATAATTGGGATGATGACAATGTAGAGGATGACTTCTCCAATCAGTTACGGTAAACTTTAAGCCAGATTTTTATATAACTTAGTATTAATTGTAAGCACAGAATATGTCATCTACATATGATAATTGAGCTCTTGAAAGATAATTAATCTTTGAAATATGTTTTTGGATTTTGAAAAGTAAGACATTTTGCCTTCATTTCTTGTGTTTCTAAATATGAATACTTTGGGTAAGTGCCTAGAACTTTGTTCTTTCTAGGCTCTTGGCAAAAGTGGTTAAATAGAAGCATATTTACTGTTTTTTATCCTTGTGGGTTTAATTCTGTTGAAGTTAATTTTCTGCCAATATTGAATAACTCAGTAGAAATTAGAATCGTAGAGTGCTAGAACCCACCTTTCCTTCTGGCTATCACCATACTGTTGTCTGAGTCTGTATAGTCATTCATGCTTAATCTCTTCACAATTTTTCACCCAGCTCCCCAACCTCTCTCCCATCTGACAGTTGTCAGTCTGATTTTGTTTGTTAAATTATTTTGTTGATTAGATTCTACATATAAGTGAGATTATAAGGTATTTGTCTTTCTCGGACTGATTTCACTTAGCATAATAATTTCCAGATTTATCCAAACTGTCACAAAAGGAATGATTTTCTTTTCTTTTTTTTTTTTTTTTATAGCCAAGTAGTATTCCAATGTGTAAATGTACCGTAGTTGTTTTATCCATTCATCTGCTGATGGATACTTTAGCTGTTTCCAGATCTTGGCTATTGTAAATAATGCTTCAATGAGTATAGAGGTGCATTTATTCTTTTGAATTAGTGTTTCGGGTTTCTTTGGATATATTCTCAGAAGTGGGATCACTGGGTCAAAAGGTTCCATTTTTAATTTTTTGAGGAAACTCCATTCTGTTTTCCACAGTGGCTTCACCAGTCTACTACATTCCCAACACATGCCTGAGATTCCCGTTTTCTCCATATCCTGGCCAGTAATTGTTTGTTGATTTATTGATGATAGCCATTTTGATAGGCATGAGATGATATTTCATTGTGGTTTTAATTTGCATCTCTATGATGATTAGTGACCTTGAGAGCATCTTTAAGTCAAATTTCTCCAAAGTCTCTTTTTTCTTTCATTAGCCAGAAAGTAGCACTTTTCTTTTAAAAATTAAATCAGGATATTATTGAGTGCTACGGATTTATTGGGAACTTTTAATAAATGTATTTATAATGGGATTTCTTGTCACTACTACATCTTGCCTTTTTACTGGTTTGAAAATAGAGCATTATCCATATGTTCTTTGTGGCTTGTTGTTTTCATAATACACCTCCACAGTGGTCTTATGTTCTCTGTTGTGTTTCTGCCTTTAGGTTTATGGATTTCCATAGTGTATAAATCTTGGTATCTTCATTAGTGAATAAGGTATTTCTCTTTATTTTCCTGTTTGAGTCATGAGTATTTTTCCCTACAAGGTTGTTCATATGTCACCAGTTCTATCAAATAGAACGTACTATAGTGATGGAAGTGTTCTGTAACCCATTCGTGTGATTAGTGAGCACATGAAATGTGGCTAGCGCAGCTAATGAACTACATTTAATGAACTAATTTTACTAAATTGCCACGTATGAATACTATATTGGACAGCATAGCCTCAGATAATATTTATATTTCTGCTTTTAAAAACTTGTCTCGATTAACAAGTCTCCAGCAAATATGCTCTTCCTAGTCTTTGTAAAATGCATTGGGGCCTTTAATGTGGTATTGTAAACCATGGTTAAAAAAAAAACCAGATCTGTCTTCAGCAACAACCTACCACAAATTTTCCATGTCTCTTTCTCTTTTAGTGTAATTACCTTTAGCAAGTAGAAGTAGAAAGAAAAAAGGATATCTGTGACTCCAAGTAACTGAAAGTCCTGTTTTTGCTGTTTCTGATATATTTGTTTCTCTGTATATCAGAAGTAGGTAGGATTATCAGATTTTCCTGACCCGGCATCACATTTTACATAAAAACTATGTTCTTGATTTACTGTGTCAGATATAGCCACTGTCATATAACAGTAGTTTTCTGGGATAGTAAGAGGAGTTCCCAAACCTATTAGTCTTAGTCTTCTTCTATTGTAAAAGGAATGCTGGTTTTGTTTGTTTGTTTGTTTCAAATAGTATGTATTCACTATGTGTGTCTCATTTCTTCTCTTTGCTGGATTTTTCCATTTAACAGGCTCTTGATATTAGTGTTTTTATATTGTTTTGTGTTTTGTGCTTAATGGCCTTGATTTCTTTTCCTTTTGATTTCTTATATATCCTAAATTTTAGCAAAGAAGTTTTCAAGTTCTCTAAGAATTTAGCTAATAGGGAAACATATCATTACTTCTTTTGTATTTGTAAATAATTTATAAATATAATTGGTTACCACCTCCTGTCAAGAAGTCAGATGGGTTTTTTGTTTTGTTTTGCCTTTGTTGTTAAAATAAGAGAAAGTAAATAATGTACATTAATTGTTGAAGGCATCAGAAAACTATTATTTAAGAAACTTTAAATTAATTTAATGTTAAATAGGAAACATATGAAGGATAGGCAATATAATTTTAAACTTCCTGGGTGGGAGGGCAAAAGAAACATTTTAATTAAATTTAGCAAAGGAAGGGGTAGAGTCAGAAACTTGTGCTGATCTTTATACCCCTACTCTAGCATTTTACTACTAGTCCATACTTCCCTCTACACCTGAGCAGAAGAAAGATGATTCATATGAATAATCTCTGGCCTTAATATTATTCATGGACTTTAGGTTAGTATTTATATTATAAGTAACTAAAATTTTTAAGAAATTGAACGAGTGTGAGGAAATGAATAATAAATATTATACATCATTCCCACCATGTGCTTTTTAAATTGTGTTTACTTTGGATAGTATGATAGTGGCTAAACTAAATTACACTTGAGGACAAAAGTCTTTGTCTTATTGGATGTAATGATGTAGGGCACATTAGTCATACTTTACATTTGTATTATGTTTTATCATGGATTGGCCCTCAAATAATTTTGTGGTGAACTATTATAAAATCAGAATTGTGGCAGGTAAGTTGCTGGTGATATTTGGAATGGTAGTTTAAATAGCTGAAATTCATTACAGAACTAAACTTTATTGTGCAAATGTTTTATATAAGGCTAATCAACTATTGCAGTTGACATTTTCAGAAACTTCAGGTTGAATAAATTATTTAAAATTATAAAAAGTGTCTTTTTAAACTGTGTATTTTTTCCAATATAATTTTTGAGATTTTTTATTCATATTTAAAATTAGGAAAGTAAAGTCTCATTTAATAGTTTATAACTTATTTATTATATTTATTTTGCCTACGTATAGCTAATGTAGAATAATGCTTACCCTTAAATTTGATTTATAATTTCTGTCTGCTTAGCTCAATAGATATATGTAAATATAGAAAGCAATCTGTTCATCTCTTATGTGTAAATAACAGTAATACCTATTGTGATGATTATGAAATCCCTAAGATTGATATCAATGTCTTGTGTTCTTAACTATATGGTTAATGATTCTTAAAATTTGTTTAAATATTTTTTATTATTAACCGGACATTTTATCGTATTTGGAAGATAGCAGTAAATTTCTTATATTTCTTCCATAAATAGATTATCAGAAAATTAAGGAATATGAAATACTAGTGGGAAATTAAAATTTTACTATCATTGTGTTGATTCACATCCAGTTTCTTGTATAGATTTATTTCTAGGGACTAAAGGAATTTGGTAGTATTTTTAATTGGTGCCTAAATTTAGCTCATTTTTAATTTATTGTATTATTTCTTAAAACCACCTGTTTCTTTAATCTGTCATAAAGAATGTCTAGTGATATTATATTTTTGTGTTTTATTTTAGAGCTGAACTAGAGAAACATGGTTATAAGATGGAGACCTCATAGTATCCAGAAGAAGTATTGAAGCAACCTAAAGTTGAACTATTTACTAAATTCTAAGTCACAGAATCCAGGATGAATAAACTTAAAAAATGTTTATTTCATTACTTGCTTGGCTTTATTTTTGCTTTTGTAACACAAAAAATAAATGTTTTGATCTAATTTTGGTTTGGTTCAGAAGTCTTGATTTTTGCCTAATAATTAACTTTCTCATAGTATTCATGATTTTCTCAGACTTGATTATATAGAGTAAAATTTCCTATTATGATTTTTTTGTTTTAATGTTAACTGAGGCTCAGAGAGGTTAAAATGAAATGAGGCTAGAATCCATATCCCCAATTCAGTAGTTAAACCACATCAATTAAATATTAGTCTTATTCATAAGGTATTTCTTTTAAGTTACTTTTAAACTTAATCTCATCTGTATTTTTAAAGCTTAGACAACATTCACATTTTTAAGATGATTCTTCAAAACCTGTGTTTTAAGATATTAATCATTTTAAATTGCTTAATCTACTTTTCTGTGTGGGAGATTTCATTTGGTTAGTAAATTATTCTTTCTGATAAGACTTAGAATGGGGCTCTTATACAGTTTTTATTAGGAATATTTTCAGACTTAAATGTGTTACTATTTAGAAGTAGAATCACTGGTGCTGTTGAATAATTTAAAATGTAAAATTGATTTAACATGATGTAGTATTAACACCAAATAGAAAAGTTGGGCACCGGAAATATAATTTAAGTTATGCCTCGAAATGATTTTGAACATACATAATTTTTTTCCTCCTAAGAGAAGCATAAATCTGCCTTACCTTCCTGACAACTACTAGATGATCAGATGGAATAAAAGTAATAAAGAACTTTGGAAAGTGTAAAAAGACCTTATGTTTGTGTAACATATAATTACAAAATGTAGCATGTAAAGAAATATTTTGATGGATATTTTCTCAATTTTCTGGTCTCTGGTTATAAGGTCATCTTTAGACCCCATTATCATAGGTTACCTTGAGAGTCTCAGACAAGTACCTAGGCGAATGGCCACTTCGTGTGACTTTTAAATTGGTGAGGTACAATTTTGAAACCGCGTAGGAATTGGACAGGGACTTTAATGGGTTGTCTCTACTTTAAAGTCAGTATTTTGTCCTTAAAGAAATTATAAATTTCAGTTTAGGTGGTTTTCTCTGTTAAGAATTGAGTACCTAAAAATTGATATTTGGCATCAAGAAGATGAAGCACATTGATGGTGGAAAGTGTGACTAATCTAGCTTAAGAAAATTATCTTTATGGGATTTTACAGTTAATAGATTTCTTTAACTTTGACCCTGTGAAGCAGGCAGGAAAGACGTGTCTATTATAAATATTTCATCAAATAGAAAACTGAATCTCAGAGAAAATAAATTATAAAGTGAAAGCATCCAAGGTTGCATAGCTAACAGGTGTCAGATACAGATTTGAATCCAGGTTTTTTCCCTTGTAATTTTCCATAATATCATTTGAAATAGTTTTGAATTCAAATTGTAGATGTAATAATGTCCAACATTTTTCATCAGGCCTTGGATTGGAATTGTTGCCATTAGATGCCATGTCCTTTCATCCTGTTCCCACTAAAAGTTTAATTTAGAGGACTGTGATAATAAGCCAGCTCCTTTTTGAAAGATTATATGGTGTATTAACACCTTTTTATGGCATGTCATGATCTACCCTGTATTTTTTAAAGATACTCATATCCTTTCTGTCCCACACTTACCAGGTTGAAAGCAAACATCTTCCACCCTTTTGGCAGAGTCAACAATTTGTACTACTCAGTGTACCTCCTGATGCTGGGGAGTTGCACTCAAGTTTTCTAGCTACCGAAATGGCTCCTGCTGTATTCCACCATGAGCCCAGCCAGCATGACTCAGTAGTTGAGCGTCGACTTATGAACCAGGAGGTCAGGGTTCGACTCCCGGTAAGGGCATATGCCAGGGTTGCAGGCTTGGTCCCCAGTGGGGGATGTGCAGGAGGTAGCCCATCAATTATTCTCTCTCATCATTGATGTTTCTATCTTTTTCCTTCTCCCTCTGAAATCAATAAAATACGTATTTTTTTAAATCTTGGCATGAGTCTACACTCTGCTTTGGGTTCAATTCTTTGTTCATAATTCTCTCAGTTGCTTTATATTTTTTATTTTTTTGAAAGATATATATTTAAATTTATTGATATTTTACAGAGAGGAAGGGAGAGGGATAGAGAGTTAGAAACATCGATGAGAGAGAGAAACATCGATCAGCTGCCTCCTGCACACCCCCTACCGGGGACGTGCCCGCAACCAAGGTACATGCCCTTGACCAAAATCGAACCTGGGACCTTTCAGTCCGCAGTCTGACGCTCTATCCACTGAGCCAAACCGGTTACGGCTGCTTTATATTTTTAAAAAACTTATATTTATATCAATGTATATTATTTCATTTTCTATTCTGTCTTGGCCTCTCCTTGAAACCTCATACTCCTATACCTAACAACTCTATCACCTGCACCAGTTGTTCCCTCAATGCTTACCCTGCTCATCCTCAAAAGGCTTTCCCTCATCATCAACCTGTGGGTCACAACCCCTGAAAATACATCCTGCATATCAGATATTTACATTACGATTCATAACAGTAGCAAAATAACAGTTATGAAGTAGCAACGAAAATAATTTTATGTTTGGGGGTCACCACAACATGAACTGTATTAAAGGGTCGCGGCATTAGGAAGGTTGAGAACCACTTAGGTATCCACTCAGTCACTCCACACATGTTGCCTTCTAAAAAATGCTCTGAAATAATACCCAATTTTTTCAAATTAATATTGCATTGCAAATGATCACCTCCCTGCGTATCAGAAACCAATTGCGAACGATGGCCAGAATATTGATTTGGTTTTGCTGTCTATATAGTTGCTGTGGGGACTGATGGACTGTCAAAAGGTTAATGTAAGGATAAAATTCATTTTATAGAAGCTATAGTTTGAATTAACTTGTCAAGTGAAATCATTATTTTGTTACTCCGGTGTTCTCTTCCTTTTGTTCCATAGCTGTCATGGATTTAGTCAAGTTTATACTCCTACCTTCTTTGTTGCCCTTTGGCTACAGTCTATTATCCAGGAAGTAGTAGTACAATATCAGTGATGGCTACAAGGTAGGATGACATCTTAGAGTAAGGAGACTAATATTGTATATATTTCTTTTTGGTATTGATTTTGTCTTTTTAGTTTATTATTGGTCTCCTGTTCTAGATTGTGAATTCTTGGAAGATAAAATCCCTATTGTATTCATCGTTATATCTCCTCCTCTTAGTCTGGGTTCCCTTTGCAGACCTAGAGATAAGAATTTAAGTGTGAGTAGTTTATTACGGATGTGATAGGGGAGTGGGGAAGTGAGGCAAATAATACAGGGAAACTTGTAAAGAGTATATATATCAAGCAAATAACCACTGGGCAGTTAGACCTTAATTCTATCTAGGCACTCTGGGAGGTCATATACAACATACCTCAGAATTACCTGAACCAAGGTGCTGGGGGGCTAGAATATCCAGTCCAGGGCTAGGATATCCAGCCCTAGCCCCCAGCACCTTGGATAAGAGTTAGTCTGAGAGAGGGAAATTGTTAATTCCCAGTAACTAGGTCTGGCCCATGTGCATGCAGAGTAGGTTCTGGCTGCCAGAGAAAGCTTTCAAGCTGCTGGGAGCGGGGAGTGAAGCTGTCCTGTCTGGAAATGTTAAGTAATGAAGTGATAGAGTCAGGGCACCAACAGCACTGCACATCCCTACGCTATACTTAGTATTTTGTAAGTATTTATGATGAAGTGAATCTTGAAACCATTGATCAGGAAATCAGAAGAAGGATTGGAATAATCAGCATAGACTAGGAAGTAGAGATATTTTTAAACCACGAGAGATGACTTTTGATTTCCTTCTTGGTTATAAGGCACAAACAAATCCATCTAATAAGCCATGCCACGTAATTGTTGTACCTGGACAATTCAAACCTTATATTCTGCCAAGAGAGGTCAGCAGGGTAACTAATGACTGCAAAATATACCTTTAATTGTTGCCTGCAGTGAAAATGTATTACAGAAAAAACTTCATAACTTTTTGCTTTGATCAGAACATGGCATCATTGAAGTACAGTAACTTCAATAAATTGACCACATGAATCCTGTTTATATTTTCAAGACTAATCCATTATTTAAGCCAAAATGATGGCTGTTATCTACATGGGTGTTAGTAAATAAAGATCACTTTAACAAGGGTGTTTGAATTTTGCAAACCTCATACTCCATGATTTATTGTTGGCATTGTATGGGTAGAAACCTATGGTCCAAGTAAAGAAATAGATTAATTTTATGAGAAGAACAATTGCTTCTCTTTGCTAAGACTAAGAAGGTAAACTTTGTTAACCATAAAGATGACAGTTTGTTTTTATGTCATTTAACTAGAGGCCCAGTGTACAGAATTCATGCACTCGGGCGGGGGTGGGGGTGGGGAGGGCCTCAGCCCAGCCTGCACCCTCTCACAGTCTGGGAGCTCTCGGGGCCTAAGCTGTCAGTCGGACATCCTTAGCGCTGCCCTCAATAGCCGTGAGCCCAGGTCAGAGCTTCTGGCTGAGCGGCACTCTCCCTGTGGGAGCGCACTGACCACCAGGGGGCAGCTCCTGGGTTGATCGTCTGCCCCCTGGTAGTCAGTGCACATCATAGCGACTGGTCTTTCTGCCGTTTGGTCAATTTGCATATTAGCCTTTTATTATATAGGATATGTTTTCAATCTCCCTTTTGGTGATTAAAGAAAAGGGCATTTGCTAAATTACTTTGGCTTTGGCAACATATGTATCTTTCCTCTGAAATGGAATGTAGGAAAAAATTGTATAGGAAATGTCTTCTAAAATTAGAATTATAAGCAAAGTTGTAAATGGTATTGATTTATATATTGGAGAGTCTTCATATTTTACAAATTAGCTGTTAAATAAGTAGAAAAATGTTTTGGAAGCTAAATTTTCAGTTTGATACAATAGGCCTAGACTATATATTACTAGTTGTCAGTAGTATAGGGGATTAATTAGTTGCTGTTAGATTTTTTCAAATTAAAATTAATTGTTAATAGACTGACAAATTAAGTCTTTTTAATGTCATTGAAAGAGAATATATA